TTTGAAACCTACTTAGTTATTATTAATAAACCAAGCAATGTGAATGTAGGCCACTACTCCAGTCTCCACTGCTATACATAACGTCACAATAAACCTGAGACTATGATAATCATCCACTTATCTGTATTATAATTTATATAATAATAATTCAGGTGGTACAGTCCCCAGAACTGTAGGCCTATGGTACACACACCGACTGTACTGTGTACACACCGACTGTACTGTGTACACACCGACTGTACTCTGTACACACCGACACACAGGCACTTGGAGCGTTTCAATAAAATATAATGCTAAATAAATACGAAATCTATATACATAAATATATAGCAGGTAGGAAAGCGGTCTGCCAAAATTCGCTCGACGCTCGCTTGATTTCACGCGAATACAACACAAACATTCAACCAATCCACTCCATCTTTGTTTCTATTTGAAGGACAGTGTTCAGTTGTTATAAAAACATACTGTCTGTGTTCGTAACCGAGCTGTGTCACGCGAAATCACACAAAGCCTGACGAAATTCTCGCGTTCGCTCCCATTGCGCAGTTAATGTAAATGGCTGTCGGAATCAGGAAACACCCACTGGTGCTCTTCGTGACCTCATTTTTGCGCCGCATTATTGCAACGCTCCACTGGCGGCTTTGACGAGGCTCGTACGGGAGTTGGAAAGCAGCATGGTAGTTTCCCAAAATGCAGTACGCCGCCTATAGCTAGTGCCCGAAGTTTTCCGCAAAACGGATTTTCCGTGGAAATCGCGGAACGGGAGGAGAAAGCAGTAAAAAACTCAGTCTTGAAAAAAGATGTCAAAATTAACGGACTAGGAGCCTAAGACACACTGTGCGATTTTCTACGCTGGCCGCTTGCGATCGATAAATTTATACGGACCGCCGGGTCCGCGCGGGTCGGGCGGGCGCGCATCTCACGGCAGCGTATTTCGCTCGCGATCCCATACGCCGGCTGATCGCTCGCATTCAACGCGTTCAACCGGTTTTCCATCTCTTGCATACAAATACACCAGCGTGCCCAACAATGAACAATCGCGTTCGAACGAGATTGTTTTTAGCAGCCAATCAAGTGTAGCAACGAAAGCTAGGAAATCCGTTGGACACCGGACAGTATGTACAGCTGTACGCGCAACTCGTACGGCATTCTAAATCTATTAGCTAGCGTATTCAAAACTATTCATGCATTCATAACCGTTTGTATGGATCGGGGCTGGTCCGCACTGATCTCCTATAGAGAAGCTTCAGCTTTGAATCACTGCTATGACTTAATCTGGAAGAAAACAATAAAATAAGTATATTTATTAATGCCCTGTAGAATGAGCCTCAGAACTTTACGATCCAACAGTAGATAAACATAACTAATGAAATTTACCATTTTCTTTTATATAAACAAACAAACACACACGTACGCACGCACGCACACACGCACGCACGCACGCACGCACGCACATGCACACCCACAAACATTTATACATTGAGAGTAAAGATTACCTTCTCAGTGGACTGTGCACAAACTCTGTCAGGAATGCTGGGAATTCATCCAATTGCTGTCTGAGAAAGGAATATTATCGTAAACACAAATAGCAATGACAATGGGAAATGGAGCTAGAATAAGAATAGGAACAAACATACAAATAAGAATAAGAATTTATACTGGAACATGGGCACTTAAGCGATAAGTATACTTACTGTACGACATTGGTAACATGTAACGCAGCCTGCAAGTCTCCACATCGGAGGCAGTAGTAAATCATTGGCCATATTGGTTGATCCTCTACATAGATCTCCTGAGGAAGAAAAAAAACTCTCGTTAGTCTGTCATTGTACCTACACAGGGATTTAGTAACCAGATCGCACATTGAGCACGTACCTGAACTTTATAAGTGATTTTATGTAAGTAAAGAGACACAATTACAGCCATAAACTGACAATTATATTTGTCGATAAAATCTAGCCAGGAGCAAGTTTTCTCGTACGTCACTCTGCGTAAATATAGTAGTGTGTGTGATACACGTTGACATCACGCACTTGTACGGTACAAGCATAACAAGCAGGCGACTGCACCAGTGATGCAGTATAACGACAACACTTGCCTCTAAGCCAGGCATGCCGGCAGGAAGGGTGATGTTCAGGAAGCTTTTGATCAAGTTGACAGTTCCCGGCACGCCGCCAAGCTTGGCTTGCTGCAGGTTGCTGTACACAGTCTTTTCGATGTACTTCTTATAACTGACAAGTTAAGCAGAGTGCACTGTCAGCATTGTAACTGACAACATTTTTTAATAACAGTAAAATGGTTTAAACCTATCAATCAAGATCATAACCAAGAATACATCTTTTAAAGGTGTTCTTAAGATGGCACAATTTCGAGCTAATATTGCACATGGCATTTCCATTGCCATGAAGACAAGTGATGTTAGCTGTCGATCATCCAACTACTCCAATAAATAATAGATGGATAATACAAAAGAAGATAATGTAAGAAAATAGTGTGAAGAATATAAAATTATATAACAGTAATAATTTGAGATCTCATACCTTCCCTCCAGGTATTTGCGAGCCTGATTAATGAAGCAGAGTTGGCTGTCCTTACATGTGCGCAGTGATACTGTACTGTCACTAGCTGTTAATGGAACCTCGGTTATATGTTGAACCATGCTCCATACTTCCTCTATAGTCTGCAAATGCAAAAACAGAGTAAGATTTAACGCGTGGAGGAATTCACAAGCTTACCAAGCCAGTTTGCAATGAGTGTTAACGAGTGATAGCTATGATAGTAATTACCTGGTCTTCCGTTTTCTTTGCCACCTCTGTAAACAAGTCCACCATGTTAGGTAGTGTGCCTCCTTGAATAGCCTTCTCATTGTACTTGTACACCTGTTATCAGACCTCAGTGTTCATCGTCACATGTTAGATTCAACTTCGCATCCCTATGGCTGCTCAGAGAAAAAGGTTCTTTACAATATTTATGATAATTAAAAAGAAAATTTAAGCAAATAACAACCGCTCTTGCTGTAATGCTGCAAACAATGACGTTTCAGTAACTGAATATGTATGACATTATATCTTTAGCCCATACCTGTCTTGCGTACGCCATCTCGACATTATTCAATGAACTCCTTGTCTTCATATCAACTTCACTTATTGAGACCTAGAGAAAATTATCAACATGAAGACCTAGGCTAATTCTTAAATCATTGTGTAAATAAACTTACTACCTGACTTAATAATAAAATATTTGGAAATACTCCAATTCTACAGCAATATGGTGAACCATTACTGATTCTATAGCAACTTATAAAATTGACCAGAACTATACAGAAACTCTGAGAACCTTTCCTGGATTTATAGTTCACTGTTGACGATATACAAGGATATCAGGCTACCACTACAACCTGAAGGATATACAAGGATAACAGACTGAGAATAATAGACCGTGATAAGCTGAGGGATAGGATGGAAGAAGGAGATAATCACCTCATTATCCTGGGGAAAGGAAAGGAACTCTCCAGAGCTACCGATGAGGGCATTGAGAATTCGTTGCTTCTCCTGCTCCCACTCATTCTCCAGTGTCTCAAAGTAACTTGTCTCCACATCGGCAAACGTCTGAAAGCAGAAGTGGAAAACTACATATTCCCTTCAGATGCAAATGCCATGGACACCCTCCTTACTTGCTATGGTTGCCCTCCTTACCAGCCATGATTGCCCTCCTTACTTGCTGTAGTTACACTGCTTACTTGCTGCAGTTACCTTCTCTTACTTACCATGGTTGCATTCCCTCCTTTACTTACCGTGGTTTCCCCCTTACTTGCCATAGTTACCCTCCCTTACTTGTTGTATGATATCTACCTGCTTGCGTGATTCCTCAATGACAGACAGGATAGCATTCTCTCGCTCGTTCCTGAGGAATGCTTGAATGTCGACATCTCTCACTGGTTCTAGTGGCTCAAATGTCTTAGCAACACTCAGAGTTTCTAACTTCTGTGAGATTTTAGGCATGTCGTATCCTTTTGAACCTAACAACAATGACCTGAAGAACCATAACCAATAATTATAACACCCACATCAATCAATCACTTAACAACTGCGCAGGATTGAATTTCAAGTATCTTTCTACCTTTAACTTGCATTCAATAATTTATCAGTACTTCCAACAAGAGTATTAATACGTAATAAGAGAATTATTTGCTTCTATATATCCTAGTTGAAAATTTTTTGCTTACATTTGCATAAGTTTAGTAATGAACTGTTTTGGCTCCATCTACTATAC